ACCATTTAAAATCGCTCAAAAAATACTAGCCTTTTCCTTTATTTCTCGTGCCCAATAGTTCCTAAAGGAGCTAACACTGGATTTCAGAAAAATGACAATCGTTTAACCTATTCTGTTACTGATCAGAACTAGAAACTTATAATTGAATTCATTGTACAGGGCTAGGTAAACTGCCTTCCTTTGGTTTATAAAAGAAACTTATTGTATGAAGGGATCGATTTCATTTTTTAAGATTTAAAACAATGAATTTATTATGCAAAAGCCTTTCTAAAGTCCAATCATGTACAACAACATTGGCTAAATATAATAAAATCATGGAATACCGATGTCTTTGTCTGTACATCCTTCTAAAGCATCTGACGTGAAATTGATAGTGTACAAATAAATCCAAAGCACTCCAGCTAGAGTGTTAGGATATTAAATCTTAGAGACTACACACCATTCCATATGATAAACAAATGTTAAATGCAGTTATAGCATGTATACATATATGTAACATGATAGGTGATATTACATTGATTACAGGGTAGATATATGATGGGTGTTATCACTCTGATTACAGGGTAGATATATAATGGGTGTTATCACTCTGATTACAGGGTAGATATATGATGAGTGATATTACACTGATGACAGGGTAGATATGTGATGGTTGATATTACACTGATGACAGGGTAGATATGTGATGGGTGATATTACACTGATGACAGGGTAGATATGTGATGGTTGATATTACACTGATGACAGGGTAGATATGTGATGATGGGTGATATATGATGGGTGATATATACACTGATGGGGTAGATATATGATGATATTATTACAGGGTGATATATGATGACATGGGTAGATATGTGATGGTTGATATTACACTGATGACAGGGTAGATATATGATGGGTGATATTACATTGATTACAGGGTAGATATATGATGGGTGATATTACACTGATGACAGGGTAGATATATGATGGGTGATATTACATTGATTACAGGGTAGATATATGATGGGTGATATTACACTGATGACAGGGTAGATATATGATGGGTGATATTACAGATGGGTGATATTACAGGGTAATATTGGGTGATATTACACTGATTACAGGGTAGATATATGATGGGTGATATTACACTGATGACAGGGTAGATATATGATGGGTGATATTACATTGATTACAGGGTAGATATATGATGGGTGATATTACACTGATTACAGGGTAGATATGTGATGGGTGATATTACACTGATGACAGGGTAGATATATGATGGGTGATATTACATTGATTACAGGGTAGATATATGATGGGTGATATTACACTGATTACAGGGTAGATATGTGATGGGTGATATTACACTTATTACCAGGTAACATATGATGGGTGATATTACACTGATGACAGGGTAGATATGTGATGGGTGATATTACACTGATTACAGGGTAGATATATGATGGGTGATATTACACTGATTACAGGGTAGATATATGATGGGTGATATTACATTGATGACAGGGTAGATATATGATGGGTGATATTACACTGATGACAGGGTAGATATATGATGGGTGATATTACACTGATGACAGGGTAGATATATGATGGGTGATATTACACTGATGACAGGGTAGATATATGATGGGTGATATTACACTGATGACAGGGTAGATATATGATGGGTGATATTACACTGATTACCAGGTAACATATGGTGGGTGATATTACACTGATGACAGGGTAGATATGTGATGGGTGATATTACACTGATGACAGGGTAGATATATGATGGGTGATATTACACTGATGACAGGGTAGATATATGATGGGTGATATTACACTGATTACAGGGTAGATATGTGATGGGTGATATTACACTGATGACAGGGTAGATATGTGATGGGTGATATTACACTGATGACAGGGTAGATATGTGATGGGTGATATTACACTGATGACAGGGTAGATATGTGATGGGTGATATTACACTGATGACAGGGTAGATATGTGATGGGTGATATTACACTGATTACAGGGTAGATATGTGATGGGTGATATTACACTTATTACCAGGTAACATATGGTGGGTGATATTACACTGTTTACAGGGTAGAATATGATGGGTGATATTACACTGATGACAGAGTAGATATATGGTGGGTGATATTACACATATTAAAGGGTAGATATATGATGGTTGATATTACACTGATTACAGGGTAGATATGTGATGGGTGACATCACACTAATATGTTTGTACCTCTGTGATGTACTCACACCTTATTTCGGTGTTTCGTAGTATCGGACATTGAACCGTGTTTTATCTGTTTAATGCAATTAACAACATTCCAAAATTAGCGCAGTAAAATCATTGTCTTGTTTAACACTTCTATATCAATGTAATCTATATTCCTATTATAATACTGCAAACAGCAAACTTAATGTTCATGTAAGAATTCGATTGACCATCTGAAGACACGTTATATTCCATCCGGATGAAAACACGTCACCAAATACTTTAAAAATCATCAAGAAAGCATACCACAATCATATAAAGCACCATCTGCTGGTTTCTGTCAGTGATTTCCCCTCGGCCTTAATTTGATAGGCATTTACATGGTATTCGCAGATTTTACCAAAACCCGTTTACATAAAAAGAAATGTCCTCTCAAAAACGGCCCAGCGTTTTCCTTTAGGTCTGAGGGACCAAATAATTGTGAGAAATATGTTTGTCTCGGCTCGTTTAGCTTTCAGAGATATAACACAAGGTGTAGAAGTTTTGAGAGTGGCATTTCTACTGGATGTGGTTTAGAAAACTTTGCTGTTTTACCTATCACCTACTAGAAGAAAATGTTCCGAAATACCGTTTGCTGCTATTTTATTCACTAAATTTAAAGTTGTGGAGTTCGTCCCTTATCAAAAAATTTAATTGGTGGTAATATGACCACAAGGAATGTTCAGGACTAGGCAAACATGACCAAGCGTGTATGCGTGCGAACAGACTCTTGTGTGTCAAATCGATACTAACTTCCTAACACTAATTTCCCGGTCATATCTTAGTCACATGTATAAATATACACAGGAAATTCCAAGTATACATGTATATTGTGGAAGTTTTTATGACTACAAAAGTATCCTAAACATCAGTAAGTATAGAAATATCGAGTCAGTTTTGTGTAGAGGCCCAATGAAAGTAGAATACCACACGGTCTAACTAGTCTCACCAATAGTTTGATGTTGTAAATAGTAGAAATATTGTGCATTGATAAACCTTAAACGTTTATATTTTTCAATATGTAATGTTTTAATGGCTTGTTTCAGTCTTTGATATCCTATCACTTTGATTTTTGATTACCTGTGTATTTCCACATTCCCCATCATCCATCCCTTTCCTCGTACTGTAACCTTGCTTTTCGTATTCCTGTTGTAAATGTTTCTTGTAAATTCGTTTAATTGTCATCCCATAAAATTAGTGTAAATGTTACCAACATTTGAGATAAACAATTGCTACTTGTATAGCTACCATCATGTCCTTCTAAGATATGTATATATCTCAAAGGATTAAAGATATTTCCATATAACATTCACACGTTTTAAAGTGATGGAACTGACAAATAATTAAATGTTGCCAGATAGATTTGGCGAAAAATTGTTTTTCAGCAAATAAATGAGGGACATTACATTGTAAGTAAATGTAGCACGTTTTACATTTACTGTTCACACAAGGAATGCTATGATTTTGAATCATTTACTGTTCACACAAGGAATGCTATGATTTTGAATCATTTACTGTTCACACAAGGAATGCTGTGATTTTGAATCATTTACTGTTCACACAAGGAATGCTATGATTTTGAATTTACATTACACTCTATGTAGAACACTGTTTACACGAGGAATATTATAATTTTGGATTTACTATATATAAATTAGGAATACATCTTTTACATTTTCTGTATAAATGAAGAATATTATCATATTTGTGTTTTATAAATGATGAAATATTGATCCTAGTAATTCAACAATTCAGGTCTCACGTATGCACAATCTATGGAAAACTTTGACACTTAAATTTAAAAGGATTATCGTAGCAACGAAAAATCGTTTTTTTAATATCAACCGAATCACGCCCATCAATAAGATTTCTACAAAACATTTGATAAAGCGACCCGTTGAAGTTATAGTCACAACCACACATAACAAAGTTTATAGAAACACAAGTTTAAAATATCTTTCTAGTCGGTGAGGCTAGGTACATAACCCGTGCAAATCCAGAAGAAAAAAAAGACACGAACGAAACAAATGATTGAATTAAGGAGGTGCCTTCATTCTAGTCTATCTTTTGATATATTTTGTGAATCCCAATATTGAATTATTTTTAGAAAATGTCAAGTACGTTAGTTTTGAAACAGCAACGCAGTTTAAATCATTATTTTGTGTGTGTGTGTGTGTGTGTGTGTGTGTGTGTGTGTGTGTGTGTGTGTGTGTGTGTGTGTGTGTGTGTGTGTTTGTTTGCTATCGTTTAGATTGCAGGTGGTAAGCACTGCTGGTGGACTTTTAGTGCTCGATATTTGCCAGGTTTTAATAAATCCGAATTGTGGCACGGCTCATTTGAAATATGCAGACGTGTAAAAATTAACGACACTTATTGAATAACGTGTTTACAGGTTAACATCTTTTGAAACTCTGTGTTATGAGTTTGTCTATTAGTTGATGACACTAACAGTGTACAAACAAAATATCCCCTCTCCTATGTAATACATAACATATACACTTCACCTATATATAACACTATAAACTAAACGAAAGTAGAAATCCCAATAAGAAAACGCTCCACCGATTATTATGCATGAGAGCGTGTGAACACTCAAGCAGCACATCATAAAGTAAGTCTTATGTTTCCTATTTTCCTTGTCGATGAGTATTGCTAAAACTGACTTTGACTGCATAACAAATTTATCATAATTTGTGTGTATCCTACATTGCATTGTATTTAGGAGACAAAGATGGCCGATTCTCCCATTCCAGACGATGACATTGAAGTGTTAGAAGAAATAGACGATGAAAACTTAGTAAAGGCTATCGAAGAGAGTCGAAGAAATCAGTCGACCATGCCACTCATCAAACAGGAGCTTCGATATACCATACAGTACCGGCGTATGTCTTCTGGTCAGAAGGAGCTGGTGTTGGAGGAGAAAACAAAGTCGGAATATAAGGTAATGGGAAGAGTAAATTACAAAGGGTGGTACAAGATTTAGACACGTCAAAGGGTGGTACAAGATTTAGACACGTCAAAGGGTGGTACAAGATTTAGACACGTCAAAGACACGTCAAAGGGTGGTACAAGATTTAGACACGTCAAAGGGTGGTACAAGATTTAGACACGTCAAAGGGTGGTACAAGATTTAGACACGTCAAAGGGTGGTACAAGATTTAGACACGTCAAAGGGTGGTACAAGATTTAGACACGTCAAAGGGTGGTACAAGATTTAGACACGTCAAAGGGTGGTACAAGATTTAGACACGTCAAAGGGTGGTACAAGATTTAGACACGTCAAGGGTGGTATTTAGACACGTCAAAGGGTGGTGCTGGTACAAGATTTAGACACGTCAAAGGGTGGTACAAGATTTAGACACGTCAAAGGGTGGTACAAGATTTAGACACGTCAAAGGGTGGTACAAGATTTAGACACGTCAAAGGGTACAAGATTTAGACACGTCAAGATTTAGACACGTCAAAGGGTGTTACAAGATTTAGACACGTCAAAGGGTGGTACAAGATTTAGACACGTCAAAGGGTGGTACAAGATTTAGACACGTCAAAGGGTGGTATAAGATTTAGACACGTCAAAGGGTGGTACAAGATTTAGACACGTCAAAGAGTGGTATAAGATTTAGACACGTCAAAGGATGGTACAAGATTTAGACACGTCAAAGGGTGGTACAAGATTTAGACATGTCAAAGGATGGTACAAGATTTAGACACGTCAAAGGGTGGTACATGATTTAGACACGTCAAAGGGTGGTACAAGATTTAGACACGTCAAAGAGTGGTACAAGATTTAGACACATCAAAGAGTGGCACAAGATTTAGACAAGTCAAAGTATTGTACAATATATAGACACGTCAAAGTTTGACAGAAGGTGCCCAAGTAATGAACAAAAGATACATGTCAAATGGTTGTACATAAGTTACATACATATCAAAATATTGTACAAAAACACACATATGTCAAAGGGTTGTACAAAAACGTACATATCAAGGAGTGTACATAAGACACATGTCGAAGTATTTTACTTAAGACTGTTCTTAGGGCACATATACCAAAACATTTTAAAGTGTCACTAGATTGTTAATAATAAAAGCTATGACAAATGGTTGAACATATATATACACACATATATATCAAAGATGGTACAAAAGGTACGTATATGTAAAATTTAAACGACATATGTATATTACAAGACTATTGTTCTAACGACAGATGTGAGCATACTACCAGACTATTGCTCGAACGACAGATGTGAGTATACTACCAGACTATTGCTCGAACGACAGATGTGAGTATACTACCAGACTATTGCTCTAACGACAGATGTGAGTATACTACCAGACTATTGCTCTAACGACAGAAGTGACTATACTACTAGACTATTACACTAACGACAGAAGTGACTATACTACTAGACTATTACTCTAACGACAGAAGTGACTATACTACTAGACTATTGCTCTAACGACAGATGTTAGTATACTACTAGACTATTACTCTAACGACAGAAGTGACTATACTACTAGACTATTGCTCTAACGACAGATGTTGGTATACTACTAGACTACTGCTCTAACGACAGATGTTGGTATACTACTAGACTATTACTCTAACGACAGATGTGAGTATACTACAGACTACTGCTCTAACGACAGATGTGAGTATACTACTAGACTACTGCTCTAACGACAGATGTTAGTATACTACCAGACTACTGCTCTAACGACAGATGTGAGTATACTACTAGACTACTGCTCTAACGACAGATGCTAGTATACTACCAGACTATTGCTCGAACGATAGATGTGAGTATACTACCAGACTATTGCTCGAACGATAGATATGAGTATACTAGCAGACTATTGCTCTAACGATAGATGTTAGTATACTACCAGACTATTACTCTAACGACAGAAGTGACTATACTACTAGACTATTGCTCTAACGACAGATGTTAGTATACTACCAGACTATTGCTCTAACGACAGATGAGAGTTACAACTAGACTATTTCTCTAACGACAGATGTTAGTATACTACCAGACTATTTCTCTAACGATAGATGTGAGTATACTACCAGACTACTGCTCTAACGACAGAAGTGACTATACTACCAGACTATTGCTCTAACGACAGATGTTGGTATACTACCAGACTACTGCTCTAACGATAGATGTGAGTATACTACCAGACTACTGCTCTAACGACAGAAGTGACTATACTACCAGACTATTGCTCTAACGACAGATGTTGGTATACTACCAGACTATTTCTCTAACGACAGATGTTAGTATACTACCAGACTATTACTCTAACGACAGAAGTGACTATACTACCAGACTATTGCTCTAACGACAGATGTTGGTATACTACCAGACTATTGCTCTAACGACAGATGTGAGTATACTACCAGACTACTGCTCTAACGATAGATGTGAGTATACTACCAGACTACTGCTCTAACGACAGATGTGAGTATACTACCAGACTACTGCTCTAACGATAGATGTGAGTATACTACCAGACTACTGCTCTAACGACAGATGTGAGTATACTACCAGACTATTGCTCTAACGACTGATGTGAGTATACTACTAGACTACTGCTCTAACGACAGATGTTGGTATACTACCAGACTACTGCTCTAACGACAGATGTGAGTATACTACCAGACCACTGCTCTAACGATAGATGTTAGTATACTACCAGACTACTGCTCTAACGACAGAAGTGAGTATACTACCAGACTATTGCTCTAACGACAGAAGTGAGTATACTACCAGACTATTGCTCTAACGACAGATGTGAGTATACTACCAGACTACTGTTCTAACGACAGATGTTAGTATACTACTAGACTACTGCTCTAACGACAGATGTTGGTATACTACTAGACTATTACTCTAACGACAGATGTGAGTATACTACCAGACTACTGCTCTAACGACAGATGTTAGTATACTACTAGACTATTACTCTAACGACAGATGTGAGTATACTACCAGACTACTGCTCTAACGACAGATGTGAGTATACTACCAGACTACTGCTCTAACGACAGATGTGAGTATACTACTAGACTACTGCTCTAACGACAGATGTGAGTATACTACCAGACTATTACTCTAACGATAGATGTGAGTATACTACCAGACTACTGTTTAACGATAAGTATTAATATAAGATAAGACGATTATAGTTATAGTAGTGAGTTTGCCACTAGACTACTTATCCATGCCGTTTACAGTAAATATTTATTCAACACACTGGTGTAAAGATTAAACCTCTGATTTGAAATGATATTTCATGGAAATTCTATTTATATGTACATCCGCTTCCGTTTCAATGTCGGCTTCATAGGGAACTATATCTATAAAACAAAGCAATGATCTAAAAATAGAAATACTAGCGGGCAGTAATAGAACCACACATAATCAGATACTATTGTAATTTTGATGTATGAAGTTTAGAACTCTCAGATGTGTGGACAAAATTTTCAATACTTCTTTTAAACCAAAGGATAGTTATTTTCAGAGGGTTGACTGAAAATCAGAGCAATTCCTGACACGAAGGCCACATACACAGATGATAAGGAAATGTTTCTTATATCTGACGAGATATGTTTGTATTCAAAGCAAACTGACATGCAATACGCAAAAACAAGAAACTTATAAATGTAACTAAGCCAGACAACTGGTCAGATAAAAACATGACGTTATATGAAAACACAATGAAATTGCTAGATAAAAGCATGACGTTATATGACAACACAATAAAATGGTCGGATAAAAGCATGACGTTATATGACAACACAATAAAGTGGCTAGATAAAAGTATGACGTTATATGACAACACAATAAAATGGCTAGATTAAAACATGACGTTATATGACAACACAATAAAATGGTCAGATTAAAACATGACGTTATATGACAACACAATAAAATGGTCAGATTAAAACATGACGTTATATGACAACACAATAAAATGGTCAGATAAAAGCATGACGTTATATGACAACACAATAAAATGGTCAGATAAAAGCATGACGTTATATGACAACACAATAAAGTGGCTAGATAAAAGTATGACGTTATATGACAACACAATAAAATGGCTAGATTAAAACATGACGTTATATGACAACACAATAAAATGGTCAGATTAAAACATGACGTTATATGACAACACAATAAAATGGTCAGATAAAAGCATGACGTTATATGACAACACAATAAAATGGTCAGATAAAATTATGACGTTATATGACAACACAATAAAGTGGCTAGATAAAAGTATGACGTTATATGACAACACAATAAAATGGTCAGATAAAAGCATGACGTTATATGACAACACAATAAAATGGTCAGATAAAAGCATGACGTTATATGACAACACAATAAAATGGTCAGATAAAAGCATGACGTTATATGACAACACAATAAAATGGTCAGATAAAAGCATGACGTTATATGACAACACAATAAAATGGTCAGATAAAAGCATGACGTTATATGACAACACAATAAAATGGCCAGATAAAATTATGACGTTATATGACAACACAATAAAGTGGCTAGATAAAAGTATGACGTTATATGACAACACAATAAAATGGCTAGATTAAAACATGACGTTATATGACAACACAATAAAATGGTCAGATTAAAACATGACGTTATATGACAACACAATAAAATGGTCAGATAAAATTATGACGTTATATGACAACACAATAAAGTGGCTAGATAAAAGTATGACGTTATATGACAACACAATAAAATGGCTAGATTAAAACATGACGTTATATGACAACACAATAAAATGGTCAGATTAAAACATGACGTTATATGAAAACACAATGAAATGGCCAGATAAAAGTATGACGTTATATGACAACACAATAAAATGGTCAGATTAAAACATGACGTTATATGACAA